GTGTGTGTGTGTGTGTGTGTGTGTGTACGTGTGTGTGTGTGCCAAAACAAACCTTATTTACCTCGAAGAATTATCTGCAAGTCCATCATGGTGTGATGTAGAGACTTGTTGGCAAGAGTGAAACTTTTGAAACACCAGCTGCAGAGGCGATGTGGAGAGCAGCTTGTCCAGTCTCAGAGCCTGACGTTGGTAGCTGAGGTCCAGGTTGTGAGAGTTGTTACTTCCGCTGGCAGGCAACACGACAGTCACCTTGCACGTATTTCCCTCGTGGCTTACCCGTCTGTCGGTTTTGAGTGTACTGTTAGTGTCGGTAAAATGTTTTACTTTTGTTGGAAATTCCATTATTTCCTCCAGAAGGTGGAGAACCAACCAAACGAACAGACACACAAAAAAACAAACAAACAAGCGCACAAACAAACAAACAAACAAACACATCCACATACACACTCAAAGCCCAACAGCACAACCCCCCCCCCCAAAAAAAAAAAGACAAAAGTAAGAACCAAACAAAAAAAATAATTGCACTACAAACGTATTAAGATGAGCCCAGTTTTGACTGTTGTAGATTTTGCAACATTTGTGGGAACTGAAGAAAAGATTGGACACTCAAGACAAAATAAATTTCTTCATTTTGATGCCATCACACGTCATGAAATGACGTGGCAGCCCTAGAATAATAGTAGTCCGCGATCAGAGAAGTTGCACCTCAGCTATTTATGTGTTCCCAATTCCCAAATTACCAGACACTCAAAATGCAATTGTTATGTCTATGTGTTTGAAAGCCTTCAGTAAAACAAAAGTAAAAACGGGGGCTCTCGTGGTCTAGAGGTTAAGGTGTTCGACTCGCATTTAGAGGTCCCGGGTTCGAATCATCGTAGCGACGGAAAACATTTTCTTATCTAAAATTGTCTCTTTTCACCTCCTTTCTTGCTCTCTAGTCATATTCTGTCGTCTGCTTTCGTCTCTCCACTTTATGCCCCCATCCCTCACCCCTTTTACCCCCTCCTCTGGGCAGAAAACTCTTTGTGCAGCCTTTCCACTGCTTCTCCTTGGCTCTTTCTTACTGCTGTCTTTCAACCAAACCCCTGATCTTCTGGTAGGAAAGAGCAACACCTAGCCTTTTCGGATAAGGACAAAAAACCTCGGAGATCCCGTGTGCAAGCTGCGAACATTAAAAATCCCTCAATTGTCCAAAATTGATAAGAGAAGACAGCGGACGCCACCCGGAAAAAATTCAGGATTTCCTACAAACTGAAAATGTAATGTGTGTCCCGCGTGCACATATGAACTTATGCAATTGCGAGCAGCCGTGAAACACTTACCAAACAAAAACAAAAGTATAAACGCCCGAATAATGTTCGGGAAACAAAATCGCTATGTGTATTTGCAAAGGTGGGCGTATTGACAGGTAATATTTAAAGGGAAAAATTCTCAGATGTTTTTGGTATTTGTTAAATAGTGGAGAAAAAAGCAGCTCTTCTTTTTTTTTTTTGGAACATTGATATATAGATTCTACAAAAGTTGATGAGGCGCATCTAATGACGTCGTTTGTCAGAACAAAGAAAATCATCGACAACAAGAATCATTGAACGATTTCTGGCATTTCAAGAGCGCAGAGTCAAATGTACAGAGATATAATATAGCTTACATTTTGTTAGGCATCTTTTTGTAACGAAGCTTACACTACGTTCAGTAGTTAACATACATAGTGGATGAAGTGAAGGGAAAGAAAAGTTAGACCCCCCCAAAAAAACAACAACAACCAAACAAACAACCCAACAACAAACAAACACACAAACAGACAAACAAACAAACTAACAAACAAGCAAAAATAAAGCGTCAAGAGAAAAGATTTAAAAATCCCCCCCCCCTCCTAATTAAAAAACGTTTGAAAAATAAATTTCAAAAAGCTCTTGCAGCTCTAAGACTATCGAAGTTTCAATCAAGGGAGCCCCCCCCCCTTTTTCCCCCTTCCCACTTATTTTTGTTCAAGTTATGGACTATGCTATGGGAAGTAATAAAAACAGGTAATTGACACCTTCACTTGAACAACGAGCAGTACCTGGAGCATCTTGGTGAGTCTGAAGAAAGCACCGTTTGCTTGCGCTTGTCACAGAAACGAGAGGATTGATCTTGCGTTTCTAGTAAGTCTTTTGGTTTACCGGAGACGTCAAGACAGTTATGAAAAGGCACACCGTCTCCGGAAAACGACGCCAGCTTTTCGCTGTAATACCGTTCAATCTCTCGTCCTCGCCTTCTGTAATATTGTGCAGATTGTCTTTGTAAACGGTTAAGATTTTTGGCCTTCGCTCTGGAATCGATAAAAAATGGTTCGTCACTTGATTCGATGTCAGTGGTGTCTCTTTTTGGGGCAGTTGCCTCCATTTTGTCTTTGAACTCAAGCCAATCGCGATCCTCCACCCAACCACACCCACAGGGTGTTAAAGGTTTCGGTTCTTGAAACTGTACTCTTGCACTACTCAGCTCAGTGCTGCTTTGACCATCTCTTTGGTGTCCCCCTTCAGCACCTGCATTCATAGACTTTAAACAGTATCTACGGTTTAGATTTCTATCAGCTTTCGTACCAATCTTCAAACTGGCATCTCTCTGACGTGCAGATGCAGAAAAGGGGGTTGCCAAGTCAGCATTACTTTGATATTTTTTATCTAATTTTAATCTAAGATTCAAAGTGGCATCGCTTTGAAGAACAGACGCAGACGATTGTGTTGCCAGGTAGTTCCCAGATTTGTTACCCGGACCATTATCGAAGCTGTCGTCGGCATCGTCTGAGCTGTATGAGGAGGCAGAGGACGAGCTTTGCTGGGTCGACAAACGGTCAGTCTCCGCCTTAGGAGAGTTGGAACACATAAACGAGAACGATGATAGGCAAGATAATAATAATAATAATAATAATAATAA